CTATTGATTCGAATCAAATCAAATATTTGAATACTTGATTTGAATTTGATCAAATCAAATCAAATTGCGGAACTCTAGTATCTAGTATAAGGAAATATTTACGAATTTATTATACTGTTTTTCTACATTAATTATATGTTTTTAAATGTATTATTTCTGTATACTTTCCTTATACAGATTATTTATAGGGTATTATATATAATATATCATGAAAATGGTAACTGATCAAAATCATTTATCTAATAGTACAGCTATCAATCAAGAAGTTATCAGACATATAGAGAAAATAGCCAAATTATTTGGATTTGAACAAAATGCAGATATATATAGTTTGCTTTCTGGTGAAAATAAAGTATTAAAGAAACAATTGGAAGATTATCATTCCTAATATAATACTTTAGAAAAGAGGGTAAAAAAATTGGAAAAAGATATGGGATCCTTTAAAATCGAATTAGAAGATCTGGATGAATGTGTAAATAGAAAGACTGTTGTCAACTTAATACAAAATATAGATTTCTTATCAAATATCAAAAAATGTAAGGATTCTTCCTATTCATTTGAGTCTTCTGAAAATTCTAATTCGGTTGAGATAATTGAGGTAAAAGAAAAAAGGTTGTTCCTCATAAGTACTGAATAAAGGTATGATCGAGAAAGATTAAGCGGTTAGTAGTTTGAAGTAGTGATCATTTGATTATCTCATTGCTTAGTCCAGAGCAGGAATCAGCAGCTATCGAAATGCTAACCCAAATGATATTTTTGATTAAATATATTTGTTTATAAAACACAATACTTAAAATGACTTATATTGAATGTAAAGTTTGGCATTTTCAGGGAGATGATGATAAAGATCTAAAAAATCATAACGAAATAATAAAAGCAGGTATAGATACTATATAGTCAAAGCATTAATAGATACGTCATCTAGTTTAAATTTATTAGAAGAAACTCTTTTTTCTCATAAATTCGAAAAAAAGAAATCATATTAGGATGGTTATTTTTTGCAGATGCATAGCATCAAAGGAGGTGATTACCATAGTTATAGCTAGAGCTCTGAATCAGGTCAGGTCAACCTGTGACCCGACCCGACCCGACCTGAAAAATCCAGGTCAGGTAGACCAATTTTCAGGTCAACATCAGGTCGGGTCAAGCTTATGACCCGACCTGATAAAATTCGGGTCAACCAATCAAATTAAA